TACTGATATATACCAATATAAGTACCAATTACACTAACATATATATTACTGATATATACCAATATAAGTACCAATTTACACTAACATATATATTACTGATATATACTAATATAAGTACCAATTTACACTAATATATATATACATATAAGTTTTATCAGTATATACTAATTTTATATCAATTTATATCAATACCAATATATATTGATTTATACTAATATATACCAATGTATATGTATAATTATATATATATACCAGTATATACCAATATATAATAATTTATACCGGGATATACCAATATATAAATGATGTTCATTAGTAAATATCATTAGTAAATAATGATGTATAACAGTATAATTCACTTTGATGTAATACTATCAAACGTTGAAAATATATAACAAAAATTTTTAAAAGAAATGGGAAGTGATTTTTAGAAAGATAAAAGTAAATATTTATATTTCTTTTTGAAAAGTTATTCTTTTTTCATTTTTGTTTTGATTAAATTCCAATTAAAATAACAATTTAAAGCAATCAAAAAAGAAATTTAAATTAAAAACAAAAAGTATCTAATTGAATTTAAAATTTTTCAATATTATTTAACAATAAAAAAGGAAAAATTGAAGCATATTGATAATATTTGACCAAAATTTTTTGATTATTAATTGTTTTATTGTTGATAACTCATTGTAACATCAGGTTTTTTTTTTTTTTTTGTTGTACGAGTTTTATACTGATTTGGTGTGATTTAAATTTATCACAAATGTCATGTCATTATGTTAATTGAGCTTAATCAATTGTAGAAAAAGTAAACAAAAACGAAAATAATTTCAGACTTAAAATTGGAATTGTTTCTTGTCTTTTTTTTCGATTTTTTTAAAATAAATTTTTGCACGAAAAGGATTATTAATTCCAAATTTGAATCTGATTTAAAAATTTAATTTTTTTTTAAAGATAAGCATTAGTAATAGAAATCCATTTGTAAAATGTTTATGAAATACATCATTTTTTTCTTCGGGAATTAATCTATCTGTATAAAAATTAAAAATCAATCTTATGTTATCGAACACGTATATTTCACGTCTACACGTATATTTCACGTCGCTTATGTAATCCTGAAATATTAATCTCAACTTTTGTATTTTCTTATATGTTATTCCGTATCGATTTTCTAATATGACACATTTTTTTTGTATCACTTAGTACTTCACTTATTCCATCTATTTGTTTATCCCATGTTCGTACATTTTCTGTTTATCCATATACAATACATTTCTTGTTAATCCGTGTACCGTATCTGTCTTGTTTATCCGTGTACCGTACATTTTCCATTTATCCATGTACCGTACATCTCAAGTCTATCCATGTATTGCACATTTTCACGTATCTTTTATGCGTCCATTTCATAATTATTGCATGAATTTCGTTATATTAAATGTAAAAACAAACAATTTTTTAACTAAAAAAATATATTTATTTTCAAAAATGAAAAATGACAAGAAATTAGAAAAATATCGATTGAATTAAGAAAAAACAAAGTAAAGGGAAAAGAAGTGAGAAAAAAAAAAGTTCAAAAACAAAACAAATCAATTTTCTTTTTTTTTTTGAGAAAAAAAAGAAAGAAGAAGCAAAAGGAAGCAGTAATGTAAAAAAGTTTTGTTTGACATAAGGCAAATCAAATAAACAGTTATTGACAAAATGGATGAAATTGCATATTTTATTCTTGAAAAGATTCAGCAAAATTCCGGTCGTAACTCGGGAAAAAAAAGTAACTTCTTCTGATCAATTCAAAAAAAAAAAAAAGAAAAATCTATACATTTCGAAGAATTTTCCGGATAGTGCAAACATATTATTGATGCAAAAAAAGAAAAAAACACAATAAATTGGCATATTTTTGAAATTGTTCAAGTGATGCTAATGAGAATCTAGCTGATTAATTAATTAATTAGTTAATTCATCACATTAAATACTATCCTTTGCATTATTGCAAAAACTACAATATTTGAGAAATATTATACATTTACCGAAGTATTTGGAATTTTTAAAATACCTAAAAATAAAAAAAAATTGGTTCGCTTACTTCTTCCATTTTTTCTTCCTTTCTTTTTTTTTTTTTTAAAATGAAGGAAGGACGGGAACGATGATGAGAATCCATTGAAATTAGTATTGGTTTTATCGGTACCTACTTGTTACCAATAAGAAATAAAAATGGTACCAATTTGGTGGCATTTTGTGGTGCAATTTTGGTGCATTTTAATTTTCAAATTAAATTTTGTACCAATTTTCGATACAATTACTCAATTACTCCATGAAATTTCCTCATGCGAATATTACTTATTCCCTACGGCGCCAATTTTATTTTTTATTTTATTTATTATTATTTCTAATTTTATTTATTTTATTTTTCCTACTTTTTATTTTCTTTCCAATGTGTGTATATGAAAATTTTTGATAGACAATAATAGAAGATTGATCTGAAAAAATTATTTAAAACTTTGTAAAATGAAATTTAAAAATTCGAAATTCAACTGACACATTTTGCAATTCCTATGATTTGGCATAAAACACCTATACCAAATTCATCCTCAAATTTTTTATTGATTAATTTTAACCAAGTAGTTTTTTCAATGGAAATTTAAATTCCCAACAAACATGTGAAAATATTGTTGGGAAAAAAGAGTGAGGCGAAAAAATACTCTGAAAAACATTTCAACAATATTCTATTTTAATTAATTAGGTCTAAATCTTAAAATTCTAATTCAATTCAGTAGTTATTTGCATTTATCAAAAATGTTCGAACAATTTGCATAATTTTCAAGTTTTTTTTTTTTGTAATTTTAAATGAACAGGGAAAATGACAGGAATACTGGAAATTCTTTCAATGTTTAAAAAGAACGAAAAATTCAAAAAGTAATTTTTTCGAATTCAGAAAAAGAAGTGAACTAAAATTTCAGAAATCATCTAACAATGCTAGCTAAATCCAGTGCAAAATTTCAATTCCGTAAATTATGGGATAGGCATTATTTCTGAAGCATAGTTATTTCAAATTTTATATTGCTCTTTTGAATTCATCCAATTTAATCAGTTTAATTAGTCGAATTCATATTCAATTTAATTAGTTAATGGAATATAAAGTGTATCAATCCGATAATTTTCGCTGTTTCACCTGTAAACTTCAATAAGATCTCGTTGATTGTCATATTATCAGAAAAATCCAGTAATGTCAATTACTGAAATGCTAAGTAATTTCACTTTTCAAAAATTGCTATAGCATTTTGATTGTGAAATTGATATTAATAATCTTTTTCGTTTACATTCATTTGATATTATTAGTAAATTATAAGGTAAATTTAATGATTAATAAACAATAAATATGATGATGAGCAATTCGTTTGCATTAACAACTGACTAAAGCCACGCAAACAAAAACCGAAAATTTCCATAACAATGCCACAAAATGCAAACAGAGTTATTCAATACGGTACGGATTAAATATTCCTTTAACCAATAACATTTAATACCAATAATCCGCCACTTTCAATTCATGCAAATTTTCTCATACTCCGTGTCGTCGAAACTTTCAACCTTTCACTATTTCTAGTAGCCTTCACTACTTCTAGCAGTCCAAAAGCGTATTCATCGACTGCTGGTTCAGAGATCAGAAAATCAGAATGCAAGAGAGAGGAATAT